AGGCAAGAGTAAAGGAACATTGTGGTAAGATTTTTACCTTCAACTTTAAATGGTAAGATACTGATACTGTACAGTAGAATGTAAGAAGTATTGGTATCATCCCTAGAGCAACACAGATTTTTTTCCCTAAAAAACTACACAAATTATTTTCAAAAACATCAATGAATTAAGGTAGAATACTAAAAAAGATTTAGGTAACTCAGGAATGAGAAATAGAATAAATAAAATAGTAACCCTATATTTTATTAATACATTGATAATTAAATGTCAATGATCTAAGCTGATTTAAATCTCAAAACTGGGTAAGAAACTGTGGCTCTTATAATGAAAGACCTTTATTCATTAGACCTACAATTTGTTTTTTTCATATGTAAATTAAGAAGAATTTAATATCCTGCTTCTCTATTTCAGTTCTAGGGGCACCAGATCAGTTAACTAGCCCTAAAGATGTCTGTAAGTGAAACCATTTTGATTACTACTTGCTCTGCTGTCAATTATGGTAACCAATCTCTCTTTGTTTCTGGATGCTAAATCCTTCCACTTGTGCCTTAACCATCCTAACTCCCATAATCTCCATTGAATTTAAGGAGCCAGTTTCTTTTTTTTGAGATAGAGTTTTGCTCTTGCCCAGGCTGGAGTGCAGTGGTGTGATCTTGGCTCACCGCAACCCCTGCCTCCTGGGTTCAAGCGATTCTCCTGCCTCAGCCTCCCGAGTAGCTGGGATTACAGGTATGCACCACCACGCCCAGCTAATTTTGTATTTTAAGTAGAGATGGGGTTCTCCATGTTGGTCAGGCTGATCTCGAACTCTCGACCTCAGGTGATCTGCCCGCCTCAGCCTCCCAAACTGCTGGGATTACAAGCATGAGCCACCATGCCCAGGAATCAGTTTCAATGGGAGTATCCTTTACTATCATTCTTGACCTATGATAATAGCAAGTAGAGCCTTTCAAGAATGATAGTATCTCCCCTCACCAATGATTTTTTTAAAAAGCCTTAATGAAGAGAGTGTCCTCTGGATCCTTCCAGAGAAGATAGGATGTGAGTAAGTTATGTATAATAATTTCACCCCAGAATTTCTGTGTCTTTGATATTCTCTGTAAACCAAGGAAGGATACTCTGACATTTCACTTTGATTTAATGTAAGTAAACCTTGTGTCTAGGCATTAGTTAACAAACAAATGACTACAAGTGAGAAGTAACTTGTACCATAGACTATCAATTACCTTGGGAATGGGAACATTATTGCCTTTTAATCCAGTCAGAGAAGAAATTCCAGAAGATTCTGTGTCTGCTGCCTCTTCTGGTAGTAAAAGGTGTCAATATGAGGTAGACTCAATGGAATGTAGCCATGAAAAAAAATGCTACTACAAACATTACAGGAATAAGGGATTTGATCAAGGAATTAGCATTTACACAAAATATAGGAGGAGTTAGGGAAGTGAAAGAATAAAATGAGAGAGAGGATCAAAAAAACTTCACTAACCACATCACCCTAAAGACCTTATTGCCAAACAAGGTTGTTGTAGTGCCAGTTAAGTCCAGGTCAGCCAAGGGGTGCACACCCCTTGGCCCCACTTGGAAAGCTGTGTGGCTATGACTGTCGGATTAGGGGGTTTTCAAAGCCAAAATAGATTTATCAGCAATGATCTTCCTGCCTGGTACCCACCTTTGAGAGGACCAAAAACAATGGATGGATGTGTCTTGCATCTCCTGCCTCTTTGTTCTTTTACACATATCTAAGTTGTTTAAGGGAGAAAAGCCCTTAGGATGAAGCCATATTCTCTCTATTCCTGAAGGACCACACACCCTAACCCCCTGTTGAAATTTCTGGACGCCTATGGGAAAAGCTTCATGGTTTCATTGAATACAGGTGCCTAAGTTACTATTATAACTGGTCCGTAAGGAGAAGAGGCACCTGAATTCAACTTGGGGGCTGGGCAAGATAACCAGTGAGGTGGGGAGATAAATATAACTTGGTAGCTAAGACCCTTCAGGTTGACTTGATGCACTGTGATCACAGCTTCTACTTCAGATGTGTTACTGGAGTAGATATCCTTACACTTACAATTCTCCTACACACAAATGCCAGTGAGGATAGTCCCTTTGAGGATATGGTAAATGTCGAGAGGTTAGCATGACATGTAAAACACTCGCCAACCTGTCTCCCTGTCTCCTACTTATAGGGTACTTGGCCACTGACCACAGTATTAACATTTACTTGAGCCCTGTGCTCCTGGAAAACAGTGACAGTTAAGAAATCCCTCCCTCGGCTGGGCGCGGTGGCTCATGCCTGTAATCTCGGCACTTTGGGAGGCCAAGGTGGGCGGATCACAAGGTCAAGAGATCAAGACCATCCTGGCCAACATAGTGAAACTCCGTCACTACTAAAAAATACAAAAATTAGCTGGGCGTGGTGGCATGTACCTGTAGTCCCAGCTACTTTGAGGCAGGAAATTCGCTTAAAAACCCAGGAGGCAGAGGTTGCAGTGAGCCAAGATCATGAGATCATGCCACTGCACTCTAGCCTGGAGATAGAGCAAGACTCCGTCCCAAAAAAAAAAAAAAAAAAAAAAAAAAAAGAGAGAGAGAGAAAAGAAATCCCTCCCTCTTGTTGCGTTTCCAGAAATGGCTTATTGCAAAGAACCACCAGAACTGTGAATAATCCCTTTCTTTACCTATGATAAAGCCAGACTCTGACCCTCCAAATTCCATTCTTTGCCTCAAAGTACTTAGTTGAACTATTTGTCCCTATAGACTAATCTGGACAAAATGCCTTTTAACTTGACCCAATTTTATGCTTCTCCCTTCCCCATAGGCCACTGGACTTTGATTCACTCTAAGCCTAGGCCAGCACTGGACTGTGGAATAGTCCCTCCCTAACTACCCCTCCTGAAAATTGATAAGCCACTCAGAAGGACATTCCATGCTCAACCGTCCCATTAATGTCACCTGCTCCTCTCCTCCACACTAGTTTTTTCTAGGCCTGTTTATTCATTCCTGTAAGAGAAAAAGAGAAAAGCCCATTGCTGTCTGATCTTTGAGATGATTGCAGATCTTACCTTTGAAGCATTCTCCTTATTGCAATAGTTTCCCTGACCCTATTGAAATAGTTCCTCTCTCCCTGTTTGTATTCATCCATTCGGGCTGCTATAGATACCAAAATACCATAAGCCAATAGCTTATAGACAGCAGAAATTTATTTCCCACAGTTCCGAAGCCTGGGAAGTCAAAGATCAAAGTGCTGGCAGACCTGGTGTCTGATGAGGTGAGGATCCACTTCTAGTTTGTAGATGGCACCTTCTCACTGTCCTCACATGGTAGAAAAAGCAAGGGAAACTCTTGGGGCTCTTTAGAGGTACTAATCCCAATCACGAGGCCTTCACCTTCTTGACCTAGTCACCTTTCAAAGACTCAACTCCCTAATACCATCATCATTCACATGTTAGTATTTCAGCATACAAATTTGCAGGGGATGGAGGGACACAACAATTCAGACCATAATGCTACTTTAATCATTTCAAATAGAGTCATTCTGTACCTAGCCTGGATTTTTATTTGTTTTACTTGACCCCATTCACTTGGGTAAGAAAAAAATCTCATGGATTCTCATTGATAGTCCCAAGGGTAAGGCTGGGGCAGAGAGCAGAGACATTGATTTACTGTGAGGTAAGAAATCTGGGGATTTTTCAGCAAGATGCCCAAATAGGAACAGCTCTGGTGCACAGCTCCCAGCTAGAGTGATGCAGAAGATGGGTGATCTCTGCATTTCTAACAGAGGTACCTTGTTCATCTCATTGAGACTGGTTAGACAGTGGGTGCAGCCCAAGGAGGGCAAATCAAAGCAGGATGGGGTGTTGCCTCACCTGGGAAGCACAAGGGGCCGGAGGACCCCCTCTTCTAGACAAGGGAAGCCATTAGGGACTTTTCCCGGCACTCTGGCTCAGATACTGTGCTTTTTTCACCATCTTCACAACCTGCAGACCAGGAGGTTCCTTCCAGTGCTTACACCACCAATGCCCTTGGTTTCCAGCACAAAACTGGGTGGTCATTCGGGAAGACACTGAGCTAGCTGCAGCAGTTTTGTTTTGTTTTGTTTTTCATAATCCAGTGGCGCCTGGAATGCCAGAGTCACAGAGCCACTCATTCCCCTGAAAAAGGGGGCTAAAGCCAGGGAACCAAGTGATCTGGCTCGGTGGGTCCCACCTCCACGAAGACTAGCAAGCTAAGATCCACTGGCTTGAAATTCTTGCAGCCAGCACAGCATCTGAGTTCGACCTGAGATATTCAAGCTTGGTGGGGGAACAGGCGTCCACTATTGCTGAGGCTAGGATAGGCAGTTTTAACCTCACCTGTGTAAACAAAGTAGCCAGGAAGTTTACACAGTGACCGGGTGAAGGGCATGGCAGCTCAGCAAGGACAGTTCAGGCAGACTATGTCACTAAATTTCCTATTTGATGGGCAGAGCATCTCTGAAAGAAGGCAGCAGCCTGTCAGGGACTTATAAATAAAACCTCCACCTTCCTGGGACAGAGCACCTGGGAAAAGGGGCAGTTGTAGGTACGGCTTTAGCAGACTTAAACATCCCTGCCCATCAGCTCTGAAGGGAGCAATGGATTTCCCAGCACAGTGTTTGAGCTCCGATAAGGAACAGACTGCCTCCACAAGTGGCTCCCTGACCCCTGTGTATCCTGACTGGGACACACCTCCCAGCAGGGGCTGACAGACACCTCATAAAGGAGAGCTCTGGCTGGAATCTAGTGGGTACCCTTCAGGGACGAAGCTACCAGAGGAAGGAACAGGCAGCAATATCTGCTGTTCTGCAGCCCCTGCAGGTGATTCCCAGGTAAGCAGGGTCTGGAGCATACCTCCAGTAGACCTGCAGCAGAGGGGCCTATCAGAAGGAAAACTAACAAACAGAAAGAAATAGTTTCAACATCAACAGAAAGGACATCCACTTAGAGACCCCATCCAAAGGTCACCAACTTCAAAGACCAAAGGTAGATAAATCCATGAAAATGGGAAGAAACCAGTGTGAAAAGGCTGAAAACTCCAAAAACCAGAACTCTTCTTCACCAACGGGTCACAACTCCTCACCAGCAAGAGAACAAAACTGGTTGGAGAATGAGTTTGGCGAATTGACGGAAACAGGTTTCAGAGGGTGGGTAATAAAATTCTCTGAGCTAAAGGAGCATGTTCTAACCCAATGCAAGGAAACCTTGAAAAAAGGTTAGATGAAACGCTAACTAGAATAACCAGCGTAGAGTAGAACATAAACAACTTGATGGAGCTGGAAAACACAGCACAAGAACTTAATGAAGCATATACAAGTTTCAATAGCTGAATCAATCAAGCAGAATAAAGGAAATAAAAGATTGAAGATCAACTCAATGAAATAAGAAAGCAATGGCAACAAAACCAAAATAGACAAATGAGATCTAATTAAACTAAAGAGCTTCAGCACAGCCAAAGAAACTATGATCAGAGCGAACAGGCAACCAACAGAATGGGAAAAAATTTTTTCAATCTACACGTCTGACAAAGGACTGATATTCAGAATCTACAAAGAAGTGAAACAAATTTACAAGAAAAAACCCCATCAAAAAGTGGGCAAGATATGAACAAATACTTCTGAAAAGAAGACATTTATGCAGCTAACAAACATATGAAGAAAAGCTCATAATCACTGATCATTAGAGAAATGCAAATCAAAGCCACATTGAGATACCATTTCACGCCAGTTAGAATGGCGATCATTAAAAAATCAAGAGACAACAGATACTGGAGAGGATGTGGAGAAATAGAAATGATTTTGTACTGTTGGTGGGAGTGTAAATTAGTTCCACCATTGTGGAAGACAGTGTGGTGATTCCTCAAGGATCTAGAAATAGAAATAACATTTGGCCCAGCAATCCCATTACTAGATATATACCCAAAGGATTATAAATCATTCTATTATAAAGACACAGGCACACGTATGTTTATTGCAGCACTGTTCACAATAGCAGGCTGTACAGGAAGCACAGTGCTAATATGTGCTTGGCGTCTGGGGAGGCCTCAGGAAACTTACAACCATGTCAGAATGTGAAGGGGGAGCAGTCATGTCACATGGCCAGAGCAGGAGCAAGAGAATGAATGGGAGGTGCTTTTAAACCACTAGATCTCACAAGAACTCACTCACTATTGTGATGACAGTACCAAGAGGATGGTGCTAAGCCATTCATGACTGCCCCCATGACTCAATCACCTCTGACCATGGCCTACCTCCAACATTGGGGATTTTTTTATGAGATTTGGGTGGGGATAGACATCCGAAGTATATCAGGTGTGTATCCTGGGCAGAGGTGGGTAGGTGGGGGGGTGGTATTTATCTTGCAAAGCAGAGGACTTGGCATCGTCTTCCAGGAAATGGGTAGAGCTAACCTTTAAGGGAGGAAGAGGAGAAGGCTGCTTGTGCCAGCCCAGAGGAATCACTGGAATTGCAATTCAAGATTTTCAGTGTATTAACTAAGAGGACCCATTCCAAGTCTTAGGATCACAGTCCTTCCCACCAATGCCCTCCCTGGCCTTGATGAAGCCAACTTGCCTGAGTTGAGAATCATATATTTCTAGAGCTCGTTCACCACTCTTGAAATTAAAGGTGAATCTGATCCTCAGCATTTTCTGCCTTTAGGCTATGAGAGATGAGCGTCTGCTGCCAAAGAGGCCTTCTAGCTTTCATACTTTGCTTTCAATTGGTTAATACCCATAGCCTCCCCCCCCGCCAAAGTATTAATTGATAGCATTTAGTAACCATCATATTCCAGTACTTTTTTTGTTTGTTTGCAGATTTATTAAAGTTTAATTGATGACAAACTACATATGAGTTTGTGTGTGTGTGTGTGTGTGTGTGTGTGTGTGTCTGTGTGTGTAGTGCACAATTTGCTAAGTTTTTGTTTGTTTGTTTTTGAGACAGGGAGGGTCTTGCTCTGCCACCCAGGCTGGACTGCAGTGGCACAATCATAGCTCAATGCAACCTCAACTTTCCACATATGGTAAGTTTTGACATACATCTATGAAACCATTATCAAGATCAAGCCAACAAACATTTCATCAACCCCAATAGCTTCCTCCTGCCACTTTTAAATTTATCCTTCCTTCTACCCCCAGCCCCTGGTAACTCCTGATTTGCTTTCTGATAGGTTAGTTTGCATTTTCTGGAATTTTATATAAATGGAATCATACATCATATATTCTTTTTTTACGGGGATGTCTGGCTACTTTCAGTAAGTGTGATGATCTTGAGATTTATATATGTCGTTAGTGTATCAATCTTTTTATTGTTGAATAATATATTGCATTTAATAGATCAACCAAATGTGTTTATCCGTTCACCTATTGATGGACATTTGGACTATTTCCAGATTTGGGCTATAATGAATAAAGCTGCTATGAATATCCATTTACAAGTCTTTGTGTAGACATATTCCCATATTTCTTGAGTAATTATGTAGGAGTGGAATGGCTGAGATATTTGGAAAATGTATTTTAAGTTTTCAAGAAAGTACCAATCTATTTTCCAAAGTCATTGTACCCTTTTGCATTCTCATCAACAGTGTATGAGAGTTCCAGCTTCACCAGCACTGGGCAAAGTCTTTTAACTTTAGCCATTTTAGTGGGTGTATAGTGGTAACTCATTGTATTTTTTCATTTCATTTTAAAATTGAGGTATAATTGACATGCAGTGAACTATACCTACTTAAACTGTACAATTTGATGAGTTTGACATATGTATATACCAATGAAACCAACACAATCAAGATAACAAATATATTTATCACCCCCAAAAGTTTCCTCATGCCCCTATGAAATTCTATCTTTTCTCCCCTCCTTGCTTCTGCTACCCTACCCTGGACAACCACTAATCTTCCTTCTGTCATTATAGATTAGTTTGTATTTTCTACAGTTTTATATAAATAGAATCTATAGTATGTACTTTATATATAGCAATAGGTCATACCTTTTTGTTACTTAGATCTTTGTTACTAAGACATGTTTCACTGTATGGCCAAAGCATTATCAGTTCACCTGTTGACAGACATTTGGCTTGTTTCTAATTTTTGCTCAACACAAATAAAGTGGCTAAGAACATTTACATACAAGTATTTGCATGGACTTAAGCTTTAATTTCTCTTAGGTAAATACCTAGGAGTAGAATGGTAGTATAATAGGTATATATAATATTTAACTTTTTTTTATAACACTGCAAAACCCTTTCATAGTGGTTGTATGGAAATAAAAACGAGAAACAAAATAAATGTATATACAAAAACACATTTAATGTATCACTTTCAGGAAAAGGAAACGCTTTACAATGAGTGAGAAAATCTATACCCGCATTTTGAAGACCAGGATAAAAGGCATTTTGACAACAGATGTTTGGAAATCTTTCCATCATTATAAGAGTTTGTTGCCAAAAATGATGTATGTCCATCTATAAAACTCTTCTACCTGAAGATTATCTGCTCCATTTTTAAATCTTTCAGAAAGTTAGTTTTGAACCTATTGATGGAAATGTGAAAACTTTGATTACTCCCAAGAATAATTTATTTACATCAAAGAAGATATACATTTATTACTTAAACAAAAACCTCCCATTTTTGTTCTTCTTTCTTTTTTAGTTTTCTTTTTATAAATGGACAAATAATAATTGTACATCTTCATGGGGTACATAATGATGTTTCAATACATACAATGTATAGTGATTAGATCAGGGTAATTAACATATCTTTTTAATTGGTGAATGGACTGAAAAATTGATACTCTGATTTAGAAAGTGAAGCTAACCCTTTCATTTGAATCCATACTTCTCTGCAGGATCTTTTTCACCTTTGAGGGCCATCAACGCCAAATGTTGTAGTGAACTAAACTTATAACCAGACCATCATATCATTTTATCTCATAAAATGAAGCAAGTATTCCTGTCATTTCAAGGAACACAACTGAATAGTATTGTTTGCCAGTAATAAATTTGAATTTTTAAGTGAAAATTAGAATTTTGGAAAATTTATATCCTCCCTATGAGCTTGATAGCTTCCTAATATTTAGAGACTTTTCTGGAATCTTTCTGATGAGACCAGTGATAATATTAACAATTGTTACTTTTGAAATACTGCTTAATGAAACCCATCAATACCAACCCAAATTTTATAAAAACAAAGCATATTTAAAAACATTTCTTGGTGGGGGCACAGTGTCTCATGCCTGTTATCCCAGCACGTTGAGAGACCAAGGAAGGCAGATCACTTGAGGCCAGGAGTTCAAACTCAGCCTTGGCAACATGGTGAAACCCCTGTCTCTACTTAAAAAAAAAAAAAAAAAAAAAGAATTTTTATAATATGGGTGACCCTCATAAATCACATAACTCTGCTGAGGATAAAAGATATGCATTTTTTGTCAGAATTATCCAGACTTTTTACATTAATTATATTCACATTTTTCAGACCCCAAATTGGCAAAAGTTGAAAGATTTTTCTTAAATTACAATTTTCTTCTGCCAGAGCCAAAAAATGTAAGAAAACCCCTAGATACCATGGTCATATCCATAATTTTAAAATGATTTCTCAGCACAATGAAGAAATTATTGAGAACAAGTCCTTTCCAAAGAAAAAAATCCAATAAGAGATTAAATATGCACTGTAATTTTAGAAGATAGTTAAGTTCCATCCTGATATAGAATGCTGTCTCAGACACTGGCCTATTCTAAATGCATCAACAAGTAGTCAAAGAGTACTGTAAATACCTATTTTTCCTTAGAACACTGCTGGTACAGATTTCCCCCTAACCCTGGCTAAGGCCCTCTTTATTTATTAGATGGATTAAAATTAATTCTTTTGATTGTACTTATTCTTTCTAAAAATGGTTGATCTATAGGAATTCAAAAAGTCGTTTTCAGACTTGTGCAATGTCAGCTTTTTAAAAAATCAGTTTGGCTAAACTAAAGCAAGGGAATCATTGCCAAGTAAAGCACACTATGCAGAACGTGGGACATATAGGATGACTCAGCATTGCATTTTAGTCTCATGACTTTGCTGGGAATCAGATGTAGCTCTCGAGAATACCAGTAGTTGGCTTTAGGTTTAGTAGGCATGAGTTGAGTTTAGAAAAGGCAGAATCTTACAACTTCTGATTATTGCTGCAAGAACTTCTTGGCCGAAGCATTCTTGACAAATCATCCTT